AAAGAATATGGAGTATGGTTTTGCATGATCTGAAATTTGTATTAATAAAATAGTTTATTATACAACTTGTAAAGCTACAGTTTATGTATGCCTTCTGTGTGTGTGTGGGGGAGGGAATTCTTCTTTTCTTTGCTGTATTGTATTATGTTTCTATTATATAAATGTACCATGACTTATTTATCCAGTCTTCTGCTTGCTGGTGGATATTGGATTATTTCTAGTTTTTGCTCTAAGAAAAACTAGTACTGTTAGAGGAGTTTAAATGCTCAGATCTTCAGCATTTCATGCACTACACTGGCAAAGGTTAGAGAGAGGTACATGACTGGGCATGAGATGCACACCTCACAGAATGAATCCTGACAACGGGTAGGCTGATTCCATCTCTCAGGTCGGAGCACGTGGCAGGCAGGTGGAGAAGCAGGAGTGAAGGGCTGGGCTAACCCTATTTCTCCAGCCACACTGTGAAGCACTCTGGACGCTGTTATGGAGTTTATGCCTTAGTCTGATGTAATCGCGTCCTGGCTTATCCTGGGAAAGACTTAAGGACGGCACATTCTGACTCTAGGCTAGTGCCTCTTACCCCTTTGGGGGACACAGCTCTTCCTAAAAATGTATTGAAAGTGATTACTCTCTCCCTAGGAAGAAGCATAAACACATTTTTCATATAATTTCAAGGGGTTCCCACCTTGACAGACACTCAGAAGTCTATCAGTCCAGGAAAAGAAACCCAAACTAAAATGCAAGCGAGAATTAGGCTAATAGTAATGAGAGAAAAAAACTAAAGACTAACAAGAAAAGACTAGAATACAAAATTATATAACAACTCTAACCATTTAATCAAATTGGAACAACACCACCACAACAAAAATCCATCAAAATGCAGCAGGAGGCTGTGGCAAGGAGGTTAACCAGATAATAAAAAAAAGCTTCTGAAGTGGGAGAAACTTGGACTACAATAGGATATTATTAAACAAAGCCATTTGTGTATGCACTCGGCTCTCAAAAATGTCAAGCCAGTAATATTTATCTGTGCCATGGAAAATATTCCCTGAGACCAGAAAGGGCTTAAGTGACACTGCTAATACTTGGTTTTCAGATCTGGCACATTCCCTAAAGTACCCTTCACCCTCTTCTACTTTTTCCTAAGAGATCTTATGGCAGGAACATTCCATTGCATTCCATCTGCAATCAGCTATAATCCCTGTGAGCAGCAGGCCAGGCCAGCCTGCCAGCATAGCAGTCTTTTAATACAGCTAACACATGTGGCTACAGCAAATTCATTTCATTTTTTGCAACAATTCTAGGTTCAAAATGTATGCTCTCTCCCAATCTTAAATCCAATGGGTTTTTTTAAACCATGACTACTTTCTAAACATAGCAAAGCAAGTGGCTCACTTAAAATCTCTCATTTAAAAATGATCTGGATTACATATTAGTCAAATTACTAATAAATTGCCATATAAAACAGAAAACATTAGTAGAAAACTGAGAAAGTCTCTGATACAATTAGATAACTGACTTTCCAAGGATAAGCATTTTTCAAAGGAACCAAAATTACCCCAAACCCTCGAGCCATGACAAAGTATTTACCTAGAAAACTAAGACTACTTTTCCCAAGGCTGATTCATCTAATGAAGATTTTTTTTTCCCCCCAGGAGACTTACGCTAATTTAAAAATCAAAGGTCTCCTGCCAAAACTTTCTCTGGAAGACGCCATCTGTTACAGCCAGACGTGGGTCAGGGGTACCAATTACCCAGTCACGACACTAGTAAGCCCACAATTCTAAAAATTTTCCCAAACGTACTGGTTATTTAGTTTATATTCTACTTACTCAAGGTCTAGCTGAAATGCCCTCTCATCTATGACCCTTACGTGTGCCCTCTGCCAAACACACATCTGCACTTTTTTATTTTTAAAACCCTTTTGTATGTCAATTATCACTTTGGTCACTTTCGCTTTGTACTGAGGCTTTTGTAGTGTCTTGTCTCTTCTACGAAAAACTAAAAACTCCTTAGGGGCAGGGTGCTACAGTCCATGAAGCTCTGGAACCCCACAGACACACATTACAGCAGACTCTCGAAGAGGAAGGGAGAGGAAGGGCTGCGCTGAGCAGTGCCACTCGGCCTGCGGTCTAGAAAGGTCTGGGACAAAACACGATGGGAAAACCACTGGTAGTTCAGCACTGCTTAAGGAGTCCACAGACTGGTGTTCACAGGACTAGGACAATTTTCCCCGGCCTACTCTAACCAAATTATTAATTGTGTTTAATAAAACCAGGTATTTTTTCTTTACTATTTTATCAAAAGACATATCAAATATTTTCAGGAGTTCTAGAGAGATTTTTGTGGTAGATAAGCAAGAATGGGTGAATAAAACTCTCAAACTCCAAATTTTATAGTCCTCTCCTCAAAAGGTGTTCAATCAGAAATCTTATTTTCTTTTTTAGTTTCCTAGGGAAAACATTTGAAATCCTTCATCCAGAGTGAATAGCATATTTAAGTAATTTTATTTTTCTCTTAAACTGACATTATTTTCTATACAATTAAAATAATGTCAAAAAGAGACCATATACCTTACAAACAATGAGATCTAACACTTTATTAGCTATCAATAATGTTAGTGAGCTTTTAATCCATGTGATCAAAAAAACAGAAAAGTCAGAAAGTCCAGCAGACCCAGATCCATTTCTCTTAACTATCCAGAACTATAAAAAATGTTTTAATTTTCCTACATACTCTAACAGTTTTATTCTCCTGGATAGTCAATGGATTTTTTTTTAAATATTCTATTTGGTACTCAGCATACCATTATACATACGTACAATAGATGCTTGCTCATACATAAAACCTTATTAACTTATATGGGTATTCTCTCATAGTAAAATCTCAAAGGAAACAACTTTTACAAGTTGTAAACATGAATTGTATTATTCAGGTATCTGAAGCATTCATTGAAGTCAAGACTGAAAAATAAGCTACTATTATACCTTATCACTTATTAAAAGGGAAAAAACTATCCTAGAAAAGGACGTTGCTGCACAAACCATCTCTGAAAGGAAATCTCACACAAGCTGCTTCTGGGGAAAGGAAATGATTGACTACATGATGGGAGAAGAGGAAGTGTTTGCACTGTGTACTCTTTGTACCTCTGAATTTTACACCATGTGAATGAATGTTTTACCTATTCACAAAAATAAATCAAATTTGGAGGAAAATTAAGATGCTATTTGACCTTGACAATGAGTATAAACTTACGACCAATACGAATATAAGCTTATAACCAATCCTAAAGTGATTTGTCATCAAGAAAAGAACATTAGTATCATCACTTGGACTAATAAAAGTTTTCCATTTATTTTTATTTTATTATATGACAAATTAATTTTTACATTTCATAAATATGGCCTTTTAATGCTCATTTTCTACTTAAAAGTTTTCAGAGAGAAACAGGAGGCTCAGGGCCCACGTCAGCAGCACGTTCACTACGATGACAACACAGAGCTGATGAGTATGGCCCCTGTGCCAGGATTCAGTTATATACTGTGCAAAACTCAATTCTTAAAATGACACGCAAATAACACAGCTTAAATGAGTGGCATTTAACAACGTAAATATTTATTCTCTAGTTCAACTGTAAGTCTAGCTCAAACTTTAAGCAAATAATATTGATTTTCTTTTTAAACAACTTTATTGAGATATAACTTACATACCATAAAGTTTACTCATTTAAAGTGTACGATTCAATACTGAATTTCGTATCTCCTTTTCTTTTACGATTGTTCATAGGATATAATTCATAGACTCACTGGCACAACTGACAAAGAAATGTAAAATATAAATAACGGTACAGCAGTTTAGACTCCAATTTTTGAATCCTTTTTAAAAATGATTGTTGCAGGTCCTTATTTATCAAATTCAGAGACGTGTATATGCAACAGAAAGTTTAAAATTGTACCTGAAGAATAAAAATAAAAAATGCTGAGCTCACAGTAACAGAGAACGGAATGGTGGTTACCAGAGGCTGAGATGTAGCGGGAAAAGGGGAGATACCAGCGAAAGGGTCCAAACTTTCAGTGTTAAGATGAATAAGTTCAGGAGACCTAGTGTGCAGCATGGTGACCACAGTTAATAACGTAACGCATACTGGAAATTTGCTCAGAGAGTAGATCTCAAGTGTTCTCACCACACGCAGACAAAAAAAGGTAATTAGAAGTGATACGTTCATTAGTTTATGGCAATCATTTCATAATATATACATACATCAAAATATCACATGATATACCTAAATATATACGTAATTTTATTTACCACCGGCAGAATCCTCTCACAGAACCCTGGCAAATGGCCCACAGTAGATGAGATCAGAATGGTTTCCCCAACTACTCAGCATTAACTGTTTCTGAAAGACCTACGATTCTGTTTCATCATAAAGCTAAAGGTTTCAAGATGGTAGAACCTACCACTATTATAAATAATAATTTGCCTACATATCCATATCAAGTAATTACTAATGCAAAATATAAAAGAAGTCATCTTAAGTAATTTTTCACCTAAGCAATTAGAGAAACAGCTCAGAAGCAATGAGGAATAATTTTAGTAATAATCTACGAGTTTACTATCTATTATAACTATATCTGTTGCTCAACTCAAAGAATCATTGTTAAGTGCTATTTAAAATCAAGAAAGAAAAATAATCTTGGAGGCTCAACAGGTATAGCTCACATCATTTAGGAAAAATCACTGCTTACATCTTTATCATCATTAAGATTTCAACTTGAAAATATTAACTCAATCAGTTCAGTTTTCTATGGATTTCTCAATTGCAAAGAACAAAATAAATAGTCCATAAATGTGCTCTAGAAAATATCTCAGGGGAAAGCATTCAATGGATCGTTCAAAACAGCAAAGTTTAAAGTGTTAATACCGAAATGATCATTTCCTCTGATCACAGAAAGGGAACAGGACAGGAAAGTGAGAACTGATGGAAAACATGCACTCACTGGTGGAGTTGCCTTGCATCTGAATGATGCACTTGGACTCTTTGCTGGTCTCTCGAGAATTGAAGGGCCGCACGCGGACAGCCACCTTCACTGAGGCTCCCGACATTCTGACGGTCTTGCTGTATATACGTGATCCAGATACAAAAAAATCAAATCTTCTTTTGAAGTTACGTTCAAGTTTCCTTTAAAAAGAAAAAAAAAATCCATAGAAGGTAAGTCAATTTTAAAAACCATGGACTAACTTGAGCATAAGAGCTATTACTTTATATCTCAGTACTATTTGTTTCCATTTCTAAAAATCTCTTCCCTTTTCTTCCCAGTAAATTTCATGGTCTCAACAGTAAATTATCAAATAGAATATTAAAGACTGAAATTTGTTTTCTTATCCCATTATCTCTGTATCATACCAAAGAAGTCCCTAAACTTAATAAAATATATAACTGCAACGTAACAGGGCATCTATCTTGCTGTTTTTCTGAATCAATATGAAAATCAAAAAACATTTATTTGTTACAGTTCCTTATACAATTCTCATCTGTAAAATGATTTACTACTTTAGAGCAATGCATTGAAGATTTTAAGCTTTAACTACAACTTAAAATGTTCAGTTATTGGCTGTATAATTAAAGAGCAAAGGACAAGGCTAAGCTCTTCCTAGCTCCTTTAACTTCTAAGTATCCAGAGACTGCTTTCACTTAGGTGAATCCTTTCATATGTATCGTATTTGACCCTCCGACCGTTCAACCATTCCCACAATAAGCAGAGAAGGTTCCAAGAGACTAAGCTTCTACTCTATTCAACCATTCCCACAATAAGCAGAGAAGGTTCTAAGAGACTAACCTTCTACCCTATTCTCTGATGTACCACTGACTCACAGCAGAATCAAATCGCTACATTTCACTACTGAATGAAGCCACAAGAAAAAATGCCAACATTTTTTCAGAGGAATAGTTTCCCTCCGAAAAGAACAAAACAAACACTATTCTGTGGAAAAAAAACTCACGTAAATAAATTCCACAAGAAACAACAGATCTCAATCTGTACTCTGTCCATTATATAAACATCTTCGAGAACCAAACAAAAGAAAAAAACTAAAAAGAAAAATATTTTTGAGTGCAATTATCAGGGAACCCCAAAGGAATTTAAATCTGACCAATGTTTTCCCACATAATTAGAGATTAGGAATGCTAACCTCCAGTTGTACAACTACTAGTGTTTTCCAAAGAGCAAATCTCAGGCAGTCAATCTCAAAAGGCACTCTCTACCTCAGTACCCTACCTTATTTTCTTCACAGTATTATCACTATCTGAAATCCTGGTTATTGGAACATGCTATTGTCTGTCTCTCACACCACCGCCACCAGAGTGCTCAGAGATCTTGTTTGCTCACACTTAGAATAGTACCTGATGAAAGAACTCAGAAAATGTTGAAAGAATGAATTATGAATTATATTTCTCAGTTGTGAGAATTATCTGTTCAAGTCCTTTGCCTGGTTTACTGACTTTTTGTTTTTGTTTTAAAAAATATTTATTGACATTCATTTTTTTTATAATTTCTGCAATGTTTTTTTCCAGTCTGTTTCCCATTTTGCATTAAACAGATGGTTCTTTTTTTAATAGATCAAACGTTTATTGTGATCACATTTATCAAATGAAAGCTTAGTGTTATTAACCCTCCCAATCAATACGGCATGACCTATAGTAACTAGTTGAGTCCAGTAAGTTGCCAAGTAAGAATGAATGAAGCATTCAGAAAAGGCAACAACACATTTCAACCCCCTAGAGTTCATTATGATACACAGCAGCCATCGTCAACACTCAACATGCCCCATTATCTTCTTCCCCAAACTAGCGATCTCTGCCAGTCTCCCCTATTCACATCTGGCCCCGCACCATAAACCTTGGCGTCATTTTTGTTTCCTTCTCTTTGAATCTTTTTATTAGTGTTAACATTATTAATGAAATACCACATGACAACTTTCAAAACAAATTTGCATTTTTCTATCCCTTTCTTCCTCTCATTCCCGTTGCCATTATCCTTATCCGCGTCCTTGCTTCACTACCTCGTGCCTACCGTACTTAGAATGGCAGAACTGATCTTTGAGCTTTTAGTTTTAATTAAATAGTCCTTAAACAAGGTTGCACAAAACAGAATCAGATGTGGGTCTGGTGACAGAAGGAGACTAGACTTCGGGCGGTGAGCACACAATGGAGTACTCAGATGTTGCATTTTAAAGTTGTACACCTGGAATTTACATGTTATTAACCAATGTTACCCCAACAAATTTAATTTTTTTTAAAAAAAGAATATTTTTAAAAAAGGAAATGACAGCAAGTGAGCCCAAACTCCCCTGCCTGGTTTTGAGACAGGTCCCAGGTATGAGTTTGTTTGTTTCTTTCTTTGCTTCCCGAAGATTACGTTGCAAATTTGCAGCCAAGAACTCTGCAACTGCTTAACCTTGCTACAGTGTTCACCTTCCCAAAGCATGACTTTCAATTTTACTTCCAAACTCAAGACCTTCTCTACATTTCTCCAGTGTTTACAAGATCAAGACCAAAGCCCGGGTACTCTGTATTCTAGCCAAGCTCCTTTACTATGCTACCCACATGTTCCTGCACACCTCCTAACAGTTTCTCCCCCATAATGGGCACATGAATTTCCATTTTCTCCTCTATTTGATAGCCTAGCTCCAGTCTTACCTCTTCCAAAATGACTACCCAAACATTCCAGGAATCACTGGTATTTCCTGTGGCACTTACAGCCCCGAACACATTGTGAAAACACTGCTATCATTTCACATGACTGCATTCTACTTTGTATTGTTCTTTAATAGCTTCCCAAAGTGAAAATCCTATTCTCTCAAAAATCTCTTTGAATTTGCGCTCCCTCAAAAAATGACTAATTCCAAGTCTGGACAAGAAATTGTGAGATGATCCTAGAACATGTTAGTGTGACCACAGTGATAAATCTACCAAAGGTGAATGAGGCCATGGGGAAAAGACACAGGTGCCAACGTAAGGGGCTCCTACAGGCCAAAGGTGGGACAATTAAAGTATAAAAATACATACATACTGCAAACAGATTGACAAATATCAAATAGATAAATTTGTGAGTTCATAATGATACTTTTAAAAACCTCCTTATTCTGAAGACTGGCAAATAAAACAAAGGAATCGAGCACATGCCTAGTCTGTATATTCTGTATAAACTGTATCTCAGGATAGCCAAATGGTCCACGTGGCCAAGTTCTTCTGTACAGAAAAATTCTAGCTAATAAATGCATTAGAAATGACAGAATTAGAATGTCACCACTTTCCGACCCTACTGATATAAAGCCTCTCTGCAACGATCATCACTAGCTGCTATAAAAGCCTTAGATGAGAAGTTGGTTCATGTCGGGACATTATAGTATATGAATGAGGCTGACAACATCTGAACCAAGTTCACCATTTCTAAAATGGGACACGGAGATGGTCTATGCCTCCTGATGTGCTATAATAAAGAACACACAGCACCACGTAGTAAGTATTTGTATCTCATCCCCTTAAAAGAATGCTGAATAGAGCCAAGCCTCAGATCCATCAGCTTACAGGACACAAAGGGAGCAAAGAAACCATTTAAAAGACACCTAACCAGCCAACCCAGAATATGGGAAACTCTACAGGTCAAGCCATCCTGTTTCCTCAACTAAACAGCATAATTACAGAGAGAGAATGTAACAGAGAGACTTGTGTTAGTTATCAACCAAATGCAATTTTTTAATCAAGAAAAATCTGTAAAATGACATTTTTTAGGTAATCAGAAAAGTCTGAACATAGACTGGGTAACAGAGATATTAAGGAATTTGTTAGGGGAAGATAGAAAAAACAAGTTTGCCAACATGTCAACAATTACTGAATATTACAGATATGAAGATTTAAAAAACAAAACTTTGTGTTCTATCCGTGGCCTACCAAAGTGTTGAATGCTGCTGACAAACAAGACAACAAAGACCAAAACTTCCTTGCTGGTACTTTTAGATATAAAGTACTATGCATTTGCAACTAGGAACCAAAACCCTAACATCTGTAATATTTAATGTCCCCCATACATACCCTTTTCAATGGACTCACTTTACCTAGCTATCCTGCCAGCATTTCATTCGGTCTAACACAATCAAAGCCAAGGATCTCCACTTCCCCCAAACGCCGCCAGCTCTGCCATCTATTTCTTTTGTTCTCACCATTCTCCACAGACCAAAAGGCTTGCTTCCTCCGTTCATCTAATCAATTGCTAAATTACATGGCTTCTACCTATAAAATCTCTTGCCATTTCTACCACCACTATTCCTTTCAGGACGTCCACACTTCTCATCCAAGACTGTTAACCTTCTCAATCACGCTCCTTCTTCATCCAACCCAATCACGCTATACAATACTGTCATTTTCACCAACTCCATCCATACCACACAAAATTGCCAGACTCATCTTCCTGAAATAGAGTCCTGTTCATATCAGGTCCACTTAAAAATCCACCAAGTTTCTCTATCGTCTACCAAGCAATGACCAAACTCCCCACACTGGTATTCGATGTGTTCTGCAACATAAACCACCTATTTTTACTAGCCCACAAAACACTATCTATCTTCCATCCACATTCCTTAACAACCACTCACCAGAGAGAGGACTTCCTGAAAGCATGTCATGTTTTCCTCTACTTGTGCCTTTGTTCCAATGTTCCCTCCACCCACGATGCCCTGTTCTCCTGTTCTTCTCAAAATCCAATTTATTCTTCCAGGACCTGAGTTCTCATACGCTACATATCTCTAAAGCCTTCATAGATTCTCCCCACTTCTCAAACTGAATGCAAATCCTTCTCCATTTAATATTTCTCTACTCACTGACCTCACCTGGGGCAGAGTAAATTACTTTTCTTATCTCTACTATAGATTTTAAGTTCCTTGAGGACAAGAACAACATCTTAGTCATGTTTCTAATACCCTACATCACAGGGACTTGATTGAATACAGTAGTTAAAATATTTTAGCTGCATTCTAAGTTACTGTGTGCCAACAATGATATTTGAATGGTATTGATAAAAAACAAGTTGCTCCAAAATACAGATGGGAAAAAGGATAAAATTAATCTCAAATTCCTTCCTAATTAAAAAAGCTACCAGTCATTCTTTTTTTGGAAGTGATATA